CAGCCGATCTTCTGAAGGATCTGGAAGAGCCCGCTTCGACTGACCAGGTCAAAGGCTTTTGTCAGGTCCACGAAAGCGAGGAACAATGGTTGCTGCTGCTCACGACACTTCTCCTGCAGCTGACGGAGGGAGAAGATCATGTCCACTGTGGACCTGGCGGCTCTGAACCCACATTGGGATTCTGGGTAAACTCGTGAAGCGAGACTCTGAAGGCGACTTAGAGTGACACGCGCAAAAACTTTGCCTACAATGCTGAGGAGTGAGATGCCGCGATAGTTATTACAATCGCTTCGGTCACCCTTGTTTTTGTAGAGGGTGACTATACTTGCATCTCTCATGTCTTGTGGGATGTGCCCTTTCACCCAGCATTGGCGGAGGAACTCGTGAAGCGGCTGGAGGATGGAAGACTTGCCGTGCTTTAGGACTTCTGATGGTATGCTGTCCTTCCCTTGCGCCTTGCCACAGGCAAGGTTGTCGATGGCTTTGCTGAGCTCCTCCAGTGTGGGTATCTCGTCAAGCTCCTCCATGACTGGTAGTCTGGGCAAGGCATCAAGGGCAGCGTCAGTCACGATGTTCTGGGTCGAGTAGAGTTCGAGATAGTGTTCGACCCAACACTGCAGCTGCTTGCTCTGGTCGGTGATGACTTCGCCAGACTTCGCTTTGAGCGGTGCTGTCTTGATGCTCGTGGGGCCAGTGGCTGTCTTGATCCCCTCATACATCCCTCTAGTATGACCACAGTCGGCAGCTGTCTGGATCTTGGCACACAGGTTCTGCCAGTACTTGTTAGCACAGCGGCGGGCGGTCTGCTGGACCTTGCTCTTAGCTGCTCTGAGAGCGTCGCGTGTGCTGTGGCAAGGGTTTTGCTTGTAAGCCAGAAGGGCTATCCTTTTGGCTTCCGTGACTGGCTGCATTTCTTTCCAGTGCGCCTCGAACCATTCAGCATTCTTGTGTGCTTTTCTTCCGAACGCAGACATGGCCGAGTCGTAGATGGCATCCCGGAGGTGACACCATTTGGCGTCCGTGTCATCGGTTGTAGGCTGGTTAGCAAGCTTTTTCTGAAGGGTCTCGACGAAGCTCTGAGCCTTGGCTGGGTCGGCAGTAGCGCAGGTGTTGATGCGGGGGCGGCCCTTTGTCTTGGCGTGGTGGATCTTACAGGGCTTTAGCCTGATCTTGCTGCCAACAAGGGAGTGATCTGTGTCACAGTCTGCGCTGTGGTAGCTTCGCGTGTGGAGGACGCTGCTGAGGTCTGCTCTCCTGGTAATGACAAGGTCAAGCTGGTGCCAGTGGCGGGACCGGGGATGTCTCCAAGACACTTTGTGCAGCTCCTTGCACTTCAAGTAGCTGTTGGTGATGCAGAGGCCATGGTGGCAGCAGAGTTCCAACAGTCTCTGCCCATTCTCGTTTAACTTGCCAACACCGAAATGGCCGAGACAGGCGGGCCATGCTTGCCAGTCGGATCCAACGCGTGCTTTGAAGTCGCCTAGCAGGTATACACTTTCGGAGCGGGGTATTTGGGACACTGTTTTCTCCAGGGCTTCGTAAAACTGATCTTTGGCTTCTGTGCTGGATGTGAGGGTCGGGGCGTAAACAGACAGGAAGTTGACAAACCCTGTAGATGTCTTCATGCGGAGGACTAGGATTCTTTCGCTGCCTCCAGTCAGCTTCTCTGTGGTGGCGAGCATCGAGTTCCTCACAGCAAAACCTACTCCATGCTGCCTCCGCTCGTCCTGGGACAAGCCTTGCCAAAAGAAGGTGTAGTCTGATTCTCTAAGAGAGCCGCTGTCGGCCAGCCGAGTCTCCTGGAGACAGGCAACGTCGATGTTAAGCCGTGTCAGTTCCTTGTTGATGATGGCGGTCTTGCGGGAGTCGTCAATCTGTTGAAGATCAGCAGAGAGACCAGGGCACATAGTGCGAACGTTCCAGCTTGCGATACGAAGAGCTGGAGTCTTCGTTAATGTTTTCTTT